ACACAAATTTCTAACTCCCCTTCCGAACACAGAGGAAATATCTCCGAGGTCCTTCGTACTTGTGTGATGCCGCCTGATCCTGAATGCTATTTGCATTTCCTGAACGGTAAGGGGCCTTGCAGCCGCCACGACAATATTCAGGATTCGTCTCGCTTTAACGGGGTCAGGGCTTTTATCAAGAATCCTGGTGTAGAATTGTGCTAAATCACGCGGCGCAGTGGTGACAATGTTGGTAAACTCCTCCGGCGAGTAATCCTGACAAGCCTTCAAAATCTCTAGAACGAGAGAAACCCAAAGAAATGTCCGGTCGGCGGACGACTCGAGGAGTGCGCGCAAGTATTCCAGTCCTCCGGCTAGCCCCCAATATGACTCGAGTCCTTTGGTTCCCTCATCTATCACACGAGTAACATCAGCAGTAATAGAGGGAACCTCCTCCTCCCCTTTCAGCCGGATTGTCGTTGACGGTGAGCCAAGCTCGAACTCGATTCTGTGGTAAGAGCGACTTGTGACAAAGAATTTCAACGGTATGGAGGAAGCTTGCCGTTCCCGGAGTCTGGTTATGTGGCCGAAAAGAGGAGTTATGGTCACTTCATCGCATTCGTCCAGGGCATCCACCACACAAACTACATCGCCACACCCCCCCTCACCCGTCGCCTTGACTAAAATATCCCACAATGTGTCCACCTCTTCTGCGAACCTGTCACCCTTAGTCTTGAAAGCTTCTTCAGCATAACTGTAGAGATTCGGTCTCTGCGTAAAAAGCTGGTGTAGAAGGGCGCGAAGAGCGAATGTTGCGCTCTTTTGCTCCTCGCTATCGTCCTTAAAAAAAAAGTAGCAAACGATGGAATTGTGTTGAGTCTCGAGATGCCCCACTAGGAATGCAGTGATGACGGATTTTCCGCAACCAGGGTCCGCTGATAGCCAAAGGAGACCGGACGTTTTATTTTCCCACCACTCCTTGTACTTTGGATGATCAGTAACCCAGGTGCACGTCCCTTTGGCTGGCTTCGGAACACGATTTCGGTGAGACTGGTATCCAGATCCGGGCGGGTATAGTTGTCGCAAAATTTTCGCGTAGTTCTCGGACGGGTTTCTGTCCTCATGGTGATGGTAATGAATGTTGGTGGTATTGTTGGAGCAGGTAGTATTATCTGAACCGGTGTTGCCACTGTAGCCGCCTTGAACATATCTATTCACGGGGAGACAGAACGGTGACAGCTAGCATTAGCGGATGAAGGCTCAAATAAACGCAAGCGACCCTCCGGGAACCTACCCCAGCGATAACAGATTTCCCATCGCATGAATTGATTGCTGAATTTCAAGAAGTCGAGTTTTACCCACGTCGGTGTAGGATTTGAATGAGATCCCCGATACTCTAACGATAATTTTCAGCCAGACGAGGAAGAATGGAGGAAAGAGGAGGGTTGGGAGACTAGAGACTAGCCTCCTCTCTTTGGGCAAAATCAGTGTTAATCTGGGGGCTCGGTCCACCCCGCATAACTCAATCATTCATGTCACATCACGACCTTGCGCCGCGGAGGAAATCATTCACACGATCGATAGATTGGATCAGTTTGCAGTATTTCTCAGCCCCCAATACCAATTTCGTTACTACAAGTGGTAGTAGCACTTGGGCTCCAGGAGTTCTGAGAAACCAACTCGTCTATTCCTGCCCCAAATTTCGCTTGTGCTGTCGTGCCGGTGGATAATTTATTGTCAATCTCCTCTTATCTCTCAAGATACTCAAGTAAGAAAAGTTTAGACCCTGGGTGGGTCGACTTCCTGATGTTTAGGCACTCCGATGGGTAATGGGCCAGAAACAGATGAGAACGCGTTCGCAGCACCCTCCCCTACCCCCGATATTGTATGACCAGGCGAGCAATCTCTGGCTACAATATATCATAATTTAACCAACACTTCCAACCTCCCATTGCCGAACTACCGGAGTATCTCAATTGTTGAAAAATGCCATGCTCCGGATCCGGATCCACACATCATATAATGTTATTAACTGGCAGTTCGAGGCGTAGGATACTCGTACGGTGGTTCATTAGCGCAAGCCCGAAAGTTCACCCTGAAGCCTAAACTATTGAGTTCAACTGTCAGCGTCGCCTTTGTATCTAAGAGATAGCCTCCGAAATTGCAATGTTTTCACCTCCATACACACAAAATACATGATCACAACCAATTACTCACGCCCTTCCCGGCTGCACGTTCGTGCATATGCGCCTTTTCCCCTCATAGCTGCAAACCTAGTTTGGGAATTCGTATGGAGATCGGGTACCCCATAAGCTGTCGAGATATTCCGGTCCGTTCTACAATCCGGAACACTCGCCTCATTTAGCAGTCGAGATAGGAAAGCCCCTGTTGTTGACAGGAAATAACCCAAATCGGTTAGTGTTCCAGATTTTAAGATCGACCTCAATGTCTCCCCAGCTTAAGGGATAATGGGGGCACCATCACAGCACTGTACCGGTACTCGGGTACTCGAGTAAATCAGCCGTAGCTAATCCTTGTCTATCACTGGCTTAGTTTGTCCATGTGTACCGTACGCTAGATGCTGCGGTGGACCTAAACGGATTTTATGGTCTGGCGACAAATGGGAAAGATTGGTCGAAGAGTCCTGTGGCGGTTGGTGGGGAACTTATTAATCCGTGATTGGTGATTGTTAGATGGGTGTTGAACGCCCATGAGTGGGATTTGGAATGGTTGCCCCATTGTCCACTTTTCTTGAAATCCCCAGCTTGCTTGGTGTCAGGTCGTTAAGCTATGATATATGCCCCCGGGTGCAGCTCCCTACTCCACTTGTCCAACCAGCAATTCAAATATACAGTGGCCCGGGCTACTCGAGAGAGGAGAAAGCCCTTTGATCTCGCAGTTCACACCGGAAAAAACGATGACTAAACCTTGCGGGTGCGCTTCCCTAAGCTCAAGATAGAAGTATCATACGCACTTTTGTTACCTGGACCAGGTTGCCCTCCAATCCCAAACAGCTTCCAAACTCTACCGGACGACATGAGAGCCCATATGATGAGGGAACACGGTAGCCTGAAGATTCCGACATTCATCCAAGCCTAATAATAGTGTGGCAATTTTCAATTGGCAAATGACTTGAATCAGGGGTTCAACCTATTTTAAACCCCGACACCGCCACGAAAAATTCAGATATCCCGATTTACCCCCCCCCCCACTAATGCGTAGAAAATCGCCTTTTTTATCATTATAATTGAACCACAACTCTCGTGGGAGTGGTTGTTGAAATCCTCTAGGAATTGAAGTCGAGCCATATTTTTCTAGCCATGTATTCCGGGCCGGAGGCGTCACTCACCATACAGGTACTTGTACCTATTCAAAATCTGCCTCCTTGCATTATGGACCCCCCGCCAACGACCCGAGGGCCTTATAACAGATTTCAGATCTCAATCGAGGTATTCATTGGAGGGATTGTAAAAAGTTTTGCGAGTTTTTCATGTCGGAACACTTTGGTGCGGTATATAAACCTGACAAATAATCTCAAACCCTGGCATCCGGCAATGCTTCTCTAATCCCCGGGTTGACTACGTCTCAGTTATTGATTGATTCTTACCAAGAAGTTAGATCTCGTTGACGGGGAATTGGATGTGCCCCCGGGCACTCTAAAGATAATTTTCAACAGGATGATGGGAGATGGAAAAGATACTGCGGTGGGAGGGGACTATCATAGGGTACCGTACCCAGATCTGAGAGTAGAAAATACCGGCACTGCTCTTGAAGCAGTATCGGGCAACAACCACCGCGCTGCTCGATCATTAATGCTAATAGCACCTGCTCAATTTGGCTCTTCAATTGATGGGTGGCATCAATCCAAACCCCACCAATCAATATCTTTCCCTGCCCTGCTGTGCTACCTCAGCCATGCAGGCGATCGCTCTCAATTTCTGCGAACTTAATTGATCCAAATCCCTCAGTCGCCCGTTACGAGACGATGGAGTTGGTTCCAGGCCTTCTCGGCCACTCAGTGAATAGTATTTGCTCCAGCCCCTGCGCCAAGAGTTCGACAGGACTGTTTTCCTTCACCAAATTGCGAGGAAATCCACCAATTGTATGCTTCGGCAACGGTTCATACCCATACAAACTGTGCCTATAAATGGAAAGTTCGACAGACTTTTTTTTTTAAAAAAAAGAAACTTTTTCTATTTCGTGCTTTCTAACTATGTTCGACAGACTTTTGCGCACACCCTAAGTACAGCACTATCAACACTTCAAAAGGTTGCGGGGGTAGTCAGGGGTGGGTGAGTTTTTGGAAGTTGGGATTGTACGAGTAGGATGTATTGGGTGGTATGGGCGTTGTGGCAGATGTTGCGCTAAGGTTGGTGCGTTCTGGCGTAGCGAGTGCTAAAAGAGAAGAATCCGGACCTAGGAAGAGAGCTAGACTCAGAGACTCGGTAGAAATCGGTAGACAAATAAAATGAAAACAAAGGCAGAAAAGGAAGAAAATCGATAAATGTGTCCCGAGGTGAAGTAGCACAGTCCCTTGGCTAACTCTCAATTGTTAGTTCACAAATCAGTTGAACTCTGGTTTCGAAAATCGGAAGCTCGGACTTGTTCTGGTGTTGTCAATTCTCTTGCTTGTTCGTTGCTAGTTAATTTGGGGGAGAGAAGTAGAAAATTCCCTTTTACGATACAACTCTCCGCCCAACCTTCCAACCAGACCCTAAATCAACCAGCTAGACTATCTCCACAGCCTTTTAAAAACCTAACTAAAAACAATCTATCATAAGACCTCAACACATCATCCAGGTTTTCTAAAAAAAACAAAAAAACACTGCCTCATTTTTATCTCCACAGTGCTCGTCATTAACAATCGGGACTGAGGTCCAGCCTCCTGCATTGTCCGAACCTGCCGATAGCTAGCTAGCTGTGGAACACGTAACCGCCGCACCTCTTTTACTTGTAGCATATTAAACCCCAGGTGGGCAATGTACATTCCTCGCAGCAAAGAAGAAAAAAGGTTCCGTTGAAATCCCACCCTTGTCGGAACAGCACGGTCCTATACAGCATGGTCCTGTACACTACAATCATAATGAAAAGTCCAAGTTCCCCGAAGCCTAAACCCCGCTCCGGCCGCCCGACTGAGGGAACACTATTACTGCCACCAACCACAACCCTCATTTTATTTATCGTGGGTTCTTGTCAAGTGCGATATTGGCTGAGACTACGGTTCGCTCCCTCATGTAAAGTACAGAATGCCTGTTTAGACACCGGACGTGGTTATATCCTCTTGCGGGTTTTGAACGGCAACCACCTTTTGAGCGGTGGAGCAACAACACACGGGAAGGGCGGAACTGCACCCGTTTGTAAGGCCACAAAACACGACTTCAATCGCCAGCGCACTACCCCGAGGTAAGTGGGGCAGTTTGCTCTCTCTCATTCAACTCTCTCTCCACGCTAGTCTATCGCTCAACGCAACTAACTAAATTATAACTACGGGAGTGTATACTAGTATACCATATGAATCACAACAAAAGCTTCCTACTCTCTTTCCACCGATCGCCGCATATATCCACCCCGGTCCACGCAAGTCTCCATTTCCTCCGCGCACTCCCATGCTAACAAAGAAAGAGAGGCTTCGTAAACACTCTCCTTTCTCGGGGCCTCCGCTCCGCGCGGTCCCTTTGACTCTCATGTACTGCTTCCGGCGTATCAGTGTTATCCTTCCACAGATGTGCTAATTCAAAGCGCATCTCCGAAACCTCTATCGGAACAAGCAAAACAACAACCTGAGCATGTCCTATAGCACCCATGGCTCCCAACAAGTAGCTGTTTTTCGAGTAGCATGAGAGCGGGACTAGCGCGGAATATGTTTTACATTCCCGGACATTGACGAGATTATTTGTGTGATGGAATGTTTAGAGTCCTGGCTCATGGAAGGATTATCCCTACACGGGAGAGATCTGGAGGCAGCAGAACCGGCGATGATGTCAGTTGATTTGGGCAAGGATTACGGAACCCTGAGGTACTTCCCTCTTTGCGCTCACTAGTATCTACCGCGCCTAACTGCCAGACCGCCAGACCCCACGAATGAAGCAGAACTAGACTCAGGTATGGACTGGGAATTTATTCTAGAAATAAACGGGCTAACCGGAGCCAGGATGATACCGAACGGCGATGAAACGAAACGACGATAACTAAATGCGCTGTGAAAACTCTGCACAACCAAGAGCGCGGAAGGTTCACCAAGGTCGCTCCGCAACTTTCTCTATTCAACTTGCTCTATTCAACGGCTCTTTCTCACTTGCTCCACGACTCACGGCTCCACAAAACTAACCGACAGGAAAAAACAGGAGCATAAGTAAACGACAAAGATTACCTATCCTATCCTTCCTACGATCGCCGCATACCAGTATCTCTAACACCTCCCACACTCATCTCCATTTCCTCTGTGCGCTCCCATGCTATCAATCATGCTAACAAAAGAGAGAATAAGTAGACTCCTCAAAGACACTCCAATTACCTTCCGCGCTCCCGTGCTAACAAAAGAAATATAGGAACAAAGACTCCCGACGGTCTATAACTCCCTTGCCGTTCATATCATCCTCCGTCGGAAGCGCTTTTCCAAAGCGCCCAATCAGAACCTCTGCCCCAACAAAGCAAATGCGCCAAAAACAAGTGGCGGGAGGGGAGTGGACAGGCGAGAACGAACAAACAGCCTGCTCAGGGAACGTACAACGAATATGCAGACGGGCAACATACGGGCGAGTAGAGATGCCGACGGACAAGAAAACAAAGTCATGAGCACGCCGAGCAGCATCCGTGATTTCCAACACTACCGGTACCCCAACGGTTCATTTCCCGTACGAGTATTCCTTGGCTATAATGTTCGAGATGTGTCCGGAAGAACTCCACCCGAATTGCGAAAACAAGAAAACTCCCTTCGACTGCGGGGGAAATTGAGAAAGCATAAGTTTGTCCATATTCCCCGGCTATGCTGTCCTTTTTTCCCCTCCTTCTTTCCTTCAGCACGTGCTTCTGCGCCAAGAGGTGAGGTTGGAATTAAGGTATGGTGAGGTACTGTACATTTAGCCAGGCTTGCATTTCTAATATATGCATGATACACCACCGGCACAAGAACGGTATTCCGACAAGATATACTGTAGATGCTGCAGATTATGGAGTAGCGCCAAAACGAGGCAGCACGCTAAGAACCGCCAGGGGTTGGACGTCGTCAAGCGACCAAGCAGAAACGAAACGAAACGAAATGAGCAACAATGAAATGAAAAAACAAAAATAGAATAGCTCTATTTGGAAATTACTCATTCGAAATGATCCAGCTTGCCTGTCAAAATTTATATCTGGTTTCCGAAATTTAGATTTTTATGGTGAATGTCGGCAGACAGTTTGGCCCGGGAATGAGAGGGGATAGGACTTGTGGCGCTATCGTATCGGCCTCAATGGCATGAACGAGGAGAAATAAATTATTCAGATAGTGGACCTCGCTTTTCCAAGGTTCTTTGGGCCAGATTATTAATCGTAACGGCACCTTCCAGTGCCTGCAAGTGATAGACACGAGCCTGATAAAAAAGACTATAGGGATTCTGCGAGAGTATACGGTAATCAAACCGGGAGGACCCCATTATCGAATTATTGGGCAAATTTGCAGACCCTCAGCAAGCCCGAGCATGCCCACTGCTCGGTCATGATTTAGCATTGTCGATTTTGATCGGTTTTGTCCCATGGTGTTGCTTTCCCATGTCAAAATGCGATAGAAGATTTCGGTAGTTTTGTTCATGCTAATAAAGAGTCAATTGTAAAGCTAGGGGTATCGAGGAATTAACAGTATAGTGTCTCGTTGAGAATAGGTTATCGAATATGTGGGGCTTGGTAGTGTTTAAGGTAATATCGCAGATTATTCACATGATTTACAAGACAGAAATATATAGTGTTGAACAGATTGAAAATCCTCCTTACAGAGATAAGTTAGTCTCATTCTTTATCGTTTTGCTCCCTGCACCACTTATTACTTTGATTCCTCTTGCCTCGTCATCCCTCCCTCAACATACCATACCCTATTCAACTCCTCGAGCATGGTATGTCCCATTTTAATTTATTTCATAATATTCATCCCATTCCTATTTTTTCTGCTTCTTCTCGGCTCTCAGACTCCCGTATCTTGCCAATCTTGACCATTTGTTTTATTGGTTGCGTTTTCCTTCTTTACCCAGGATTGAGGATATAAGCCCATCTTAGCCCTAGTAATTAAAAATCTTCAATCAATTTCTCTCTCAAAAAATATCAATATATAGCTCGAGTGATCGGTCATGATATGCTATTGTTGAGTAGTGAACCTAAGCGGCGAGTCATTCAGGTTTTGGGTACCGCCTGACTGGCCCAGGCTATTTCAGAGATGCCATAGCCCGGCAACAGGAAACTGGCGTTCCAAAACGGAAACCAGGCCTGGCCTGGGCATCTGGTGGCATTGAGTTAGGCTGCTGCAAGATTCGACAAGTAGGTTGCCCGGGCACCGCCGGGCTTTAGTTGCGGTGAATAATTACGATTTGATTAAGCAAGTCTTTCCAAAACTGTAGTCGGTCTAGCCGTTTGGGATCGCTATATGTGATCGAGCTATAACCCTGATCGGGCAAACTAATCTGATCAAGAAGGCCCCAATCGTACAGAATCTGATTGGGGGAGCGCTACAGTCGAGGTGATCCGACGATGGCCATCAGTATAACCGCAGTGGAGTGGGCGCTGCGCTTCGCGTAGCAGAATGCGTCGTCGAAATAGCTATTGCTCGTACCATTCGCCCCTCCGGATCGCCGGAGGTTCTGCAGCATATCGCCCATTCGAACGGATCACATAGGATATCATTCCGCACTCGACTCCATCGTTTCGGGGTGGGTGGGTAGGCAATGGTTGGAAACCGAGAAGTGGGTTTACTCATGCCTTGCAGGCAGTTGATAATCATCCAGGATAGTCATACACGCGGTACTGAATGACGTAGATGTTTCCTCCCCAAATGAAGTTTTGTGCATCGCAATTTGGGTTTTCACTTCATTGTGATGCTAGCAAAATGACAGGAAGTATGCGAGTTTGGAAACAATCATTGAATAATAATGATGTGCCCGATAAACCCACCGCCACACAAAATCAATCATGGCTAGCGAAATACAGGTATGCTTGCCCATGAACTCCAATATCAACAGAAACACCAAAACAAGACGGGCGAAAAATAGGAACGATCTCCTGAGATTGATGAAGGACCACACACATCCCTCATCGACCCCAGAGCCAAAGTGTGACTACTTAAAGATTCGCCTCGGATATCCCTCAATCGATCCCAAACCCTTTTGTATCCCCAATGCTAGCCGATTGCCATATCCTATCCACTTCCTCATGGATTTCCTGCGTCATCTCCGAGATTCCCGAACGGAGGTGAGTGAACTTTATGTGTATGACTAAAGGCGACCATGGGAGACACCCGATTTGCATCCAAATTCCTCGGAACCTCCTTGCCGTTTCCCAAGGGCGAAAGGGTTCGGGATTGGCAGGGCGGCGTGAGAGAATTCACTTCGCACGGGACGGAAGTGGAATTGAGTTGCCGTTAGCGTTGGGCGCGATCATATCACGCTCGAAAAGGAGCCTCGTAACATGCCCGATCACTCTATCTATAAACATGTCGCCGAAGTAACAAATTGGATTTTGTAAATGGTTTTTGAGCATGTAAGAGAGAGAGTATAAATGGGCTTTTCTAAAGGAGTTAATTTCACCTCATGAATACCAGAGCAGACTATAATTATATATGGTGCCAGACTGCCAAAGTTTTGCAACGTGGACAAACGAGAGCGAGACCAAGAAACAAAAGAATAGCGCCAATGACGCCGGTCCACAGGCCTTTGAGTAATAGTAAAATTGGCTTTACTAAAGTGTTGGCAGTTAGTAAACGGATTAAATAAAGCTGCTTAAATCGTGCATTACATTTTGACATGATAATATTGTACCACGTGGGTACGAAAGCAGCAGCAACCCACCCTTCTCGTGGTGTGGCGGAGGGTGTGTGGTTACTGTGGCGACTCAAGTTGCCGAGGTTGTTGCCTTGCCGACCGTTCAGGTGTTTGTGGAGTCATCGACTCAACTGGACTCTGTTTTCTCTCTCACGGCTACTGCCGTGCCTATTCCATCGTCTCCCCCTCCGGTGTTATTTTGTCTCTGCTCGCTTCATCTCCAGTCGAGACCCAGATCGAGCCTCCCCACAATGCCGCTGCATCTTCGGCAGTCCCGTCAACCGCTCGAAGTCTCACTGAGATCCCGCCCTCTGGGCTTCTTTTCTCCTCCGGTCGCTTCGCCCTTCATTGTAGCCGCGCTTGAGTCGTCGCCTCCTTGCGACGTACGTGTTGACGGTGCCTCCGGTCCTACTATGGTAGGGCGAAAGACAAAGGGGAAGAGAGCAAGGAAGTGCAGGACGAAGAGGGGTCGTCAGAGCCGGTGACTTTCGTGGAGGACTCAGGCTCTGGGAGTTCCCTGCGGGGTTCTGTTGTTGATGAGGGGCTCTGCTGGTTCTGTTTCTGGTAGTTCGGTACCTAGGGAGGTACAGCGCCTAAGTTATGTATGCTACACTAGCAGTAGGGAGGTTCTATCAACCACCATGAACGTGAACTTGAACTTGTTGCCACGGTAACAGTCTCTCACTTTCTAAATATGGTTAAGAGGATAAGCTAATACAAGTGCAGACCAGAGGCCTGGTCTGAGCGGTGAACCCGTATAGTCCAGAATCAGTGTGAACTTCAAAATGTAAACAATGTTTCTAATTGGCTGTTACTCACCTGCATGACATTTTAGGGGGATGGAATAAAAAAACATCGTAGAGGCCCTTCTCTTCCTTGTATCATTGTCATATTATTGAACCAGAAGACCATATTTCCTACCCTCTATACGACGTCCGTATGTTACTATCACTCATTCTTTCAATTTGGCATGCTACCGATAGTGCTGCCCCGCATTTGCTACTGCAACATCAGCGCCGGAGGCACCATATTACAGCATTATTGAAAGATACAACAAAAGTTATTAAGGATTCTCCCTGGAAAAGAAGAATTACCTATAATCTAAAGAACAAATTTACCCTTAGTAGTAAGACTGATAAATGGTGTTTGGAATTTCTGCGATTTAAAAAAATTGAAATAATTGAAATGTCCTTACGAGGGAAGGGCGAGCGATTGGGGTATATTGAAAGAGTCAGGCTTGCAGGAAAACCTTATAAAGTACTCATATAATACAGCAGGAAAGAGGGTTTGAATATATGGGGATGCGGGCTATTGGCTTGAGACAAGTATACTAAGTTCATATCGCACATATCATCCAACAGGACCTCTTACAAGTAATCAAGAAATTTTTAATACGGGTATGGCACGGCAGCGAATTGTGGTTGAGTGGTGCTTTGGGAAGCTGGTAAGTCTCTTTCCATTTATTGACTATTCTAAAAAGCTCAAAGTTGGTTTATCCCCTATTGGTTCTTGGATATTTACAGCTATACTTCTAACAAATGCTCATACCTGCTATTATGGCTCTGAGACCGCTTCATATTTTGAGTGCCCTCCTCATACAAACAACTTGTAAACTTCATGCCCGATAACTACATATCCATCCAACAGAGTACGCTTGCATCCGCAAAGTTCTCGTAACATGTCTGGTACCCTCATCAATATTGGCTTTGCTAGCAAGACAAGACCTCACGATAAGTTAGACATTACGAGAACTTCGCGGAAACGAGTGTATTGTCCGGGGACAAAATTAACTAGCTGTCAACGGCCGGAAAATCTTCGGTAATGACAACCACACTCCCCCACCAACCCACTATCATGAAAACCCAAAAGAAAATTAAAAAATATAAATACATAGTAGAAATTAATATTTAGTATACCATCCATCAGCCTTAATAATTGCTTCCACCCTATCCACCATTGATCCTGCCAAAGTTTCAAAAACCTTTGGGTCCAGAAGTTCCCAACAATGAGTGATAGCCTCCTCTATAATTTTTTTGATTTCATTGACAGGGCCCTTCAGGAGAAACAGCTCAGGATAGTGCTTATGAGGCTTGTCTTTCACCAG